ATTTTAATTATTTCACAACATTTGAGGAGCTTTCTTCCTCGTGGAAAAATCTAAAGATTAAAGGAGAATAATTTATTCTTGAGTAGAATCTCCAGACACCTGAAGATGCCATGTTCATCTCTTCAAACAAGAAATAAATAGCATGTTGACGTCCAGCCATCATATCATTCCTACAAACCTGACACCATTCCACCTGTGAAGGACGGAGGTAGCAGCATTATGCTGTGTGCGTATTTTACTTCAGGGGGATTAGTGCAGCTCATAAAAGAAGGAAAACACTAACTTCTCAAAGCTTCATCCAGGATGTTGAAGTTGGGACACAAATTGCCTTGCGTCAGATTTTTATGAAATACACACAAACCCCCGATCTTAGTCTCTTTGTAGGTACAGCCTATAAAAGGTGTGAGTAAGATGGCCTTGAATCCTGACCCAGTCTAGTTCTGTCAGGAGGAATGGGTCAAACTTCCAGCAAACGACTTGTGGGAAGATAACCAAAAGCATTTAGCAAATAAACACAATTCTGTCCGTCCTAAATTCCCTAAATCTTGAAAAGTCAAGGCTGTGACCAGGACATCTCATGCTTGCTGTGCATTCTGTGGATTTTCCTCTGCAGAGGCTTTATGCTATTGAGAGTAAATTACACAGCTACCAGTTAGGTGACTTGCTTTTATGGCGCTGGATTTTATTTATGGCATCAGACTAATGGGGTTGGATACAAATCCACACATTCAGACGCACTGGTTTTAGAGTTTATTGGGTCTATTGGCTTTCCAGATCGAGTGAACGATGTTGGTGAATGAGGTATTTTCCTCGCTGTTCAGTAAACAGTTACTCACATTTTCAAGATTTTTACATTCACATTTTGCTGCACCTGCATGTGTGTGTACGTGTGTGTGTGTGTGCATGTGTGTGTGCATGTGTGTGCGTGTGTGTGTGTGTGTGTGTGTGTGTGTGGGTGTGTGTGTGTGTGTGTGTGTGTGTGATGCATGCTGCCTCCCTTTCTCATTAACCAGTGAAGTCAACATGAATAAAAACTGAGAGAGCACCGTGATTTCAGATTTAGTAATTAATATTTTACTCTGTCTGACACTCTGCTTAGAGACTGAGACCTAGCATAAGCGAGAGAGATAAAAGAGGTGAGACAGATGATGTGAGAGTTCACACAAAGACGGGGTCGGCCGGAGTCGAGACTCAAGACGGATTCTGTGAGCAAATCGTTCGGTCAGGACGGCCAGAGAGCGAGAGGGATTATGTGACACGAGTTGTGTAATCAGCATTGTTTCAGAAGCTGCAGATGGGATGAATTGAGCCTTGCTGCAGAGGACCTGGGGACCGAGACAGAAAGTGTGGCTTTGACAGATCCAGCTGACTCCCCCCTTTTCCTCCTGCAACCTCTCTCTCCCTGCCTGTGTCAGAGTGTTGTGACAGGCATCTCTTCGGTGTTGTGGGAGTAGCAGCCTTAAAGTGCTCATTATCCTGTAAGGCTTCATTCTGGGGGGCAAACAAAGGCTGCTGTGAAATTGCAGCCTGTGCCTCCTCTAAGGTCATGATGTTGTGAGAGGAAACGCATACACAGTCCTTAACTGCCACCTCCACCACATCTCCTCAGCCTCCCGACTGACAAACACAGGAATTTCAGATCAAATATTGATACTTATGAGCACACTTACACTTTACATACACACGGGCACCGACCAGCTGCTAGCAGACGGATGCTAAAAAGCGCAGGTGATACGTAATGTTTGCAAATTAAGACCGAGTGTATTCAATCAATTTTGAAACCTGTCACACTCAATTTATTTGTTATAACTTTATTAATAAGGGACTCTTTTAATCGAGTTTTTCTTGAGCGAAACTTGCGATCTATGAAGACTGAGGAAGAAATGATGGGGGAGCGTGGTGAAGTTTAAAGATGACTAGAACTGCTGTGTGTTTTTTAAGTAAACATTAGAAAATGTGCACTTTAAAAATTGCTAGGTTAAAAACAATTAAGTCAGTCCTCGTCAAAAACGGACCGATCATTATTAACAGGACTGAGTTATACTGGCTTAGATTTTCAACCCCTAAATGTTAAAGATGACATTACAAATGCAGATGTTCGGCATGATGGGCAGATCTTGTTTCATGTTGTTACGTTTACTTCTCTTCCTTCTTAATCACAAATAGAAAAATCCCATCGTTGAGGTTGGAGAGCCTTCTTGCCATCACCCTAATCATTAACCACAGATTTTCTGTCAGATTCAAGTCAGGACCCTGGTTAGGTCACTAAAAAGCTGTAATATTACTAGCAGTGAGAAGAAGCGTGTTGGTAAAAATAAAAATACTTCTTTGTCTCTGAATTTGCCAAGTTTATGAATAGTTTTGGGAACCATGGAAACATAAAAATCTTTTTAAAAAATTGTATTTTAAAGCAGAAAAGCAACTACTACAAAAGTGCAGTTATAATAATACATTGCTTATTTTTTAATACAAGAATTAATCTTTTTTTTTTGCAGCTTGAAGGGAGGGTTATTGAACTTCATATGATAATGTTATTCATCATCAAAAACATACCTAAAGAGTTGCTATGATTCTGTCATGCATGTTTGAGAATCCCATGGCAACCGTTGGGGTGGTGCCTTAATGTTTGTCTCATATTTCATATTTCAACAAAGCTCCTCCATGGAGCTTCAGTTCCCAGTAGTTCCTCCAGACTAGTGGCAGCAGCAATTAGCAAACACCTGGTGGACCTGAACTCATTATATGAACGACTTTTCAGTCCAACGCTCCTAAGAATGGTTGTAAATGGCATAATAAGAAGCATTGTTGTGATGAAAAGGGGAGTTTCAGAAAGAAATAACTTAAGTCTATAGTTATTTTAAGAAGAGGGCAAGATATGGACCTGATCTGTAGGATTAATAATCTTAAATGACTTCTGTATTGATCTAGGACAGAGGGCACAGAGGATGTCACTGGGGTACAGTCTGCCTCCCTGTAGTCTCATGTTATCCTGTGTTTTCCTGTGTGATCTTAGGCCTTAAAATAATTGGTTAACTCACAGATGTCTATGCAAACCAAACATCTGTAAATTGTTAGTGGGTTTATTTTGTTGTTTGTAAAAGGCTCAGTGGCATCTAATGAAAAAAAAAAGAATCTAAAAGTTTTTGTAACACTGAAACACACAGCTATGAAAAAAAAATTTTTTTGCAGTGGAAAATGGAAAAATGAGGAAAAGTCATTGTTTTGCCCTAAGTTATTGAATAGTGGAGAAACCTTTTGAGCCAAGCCACCAAGTCAAAACCTCACACGCTTTACACAAAAAACAAATAATTACATTATTTGAAGGGAAAATGAGAAGAGGCAGCTTTGTCACTTGAAAATGTGCTTAGCATTTCATCTGTTGAATTACACTAGTTATTGTGGTGTTATGCAGAAGAGCAGGGGTTATGTATTGCGAGAGACAATTTGTTTTGTTCAAGTGACCGAAGTTTGTCCTCCAGGTCTTGACCGAGTGCCAGGTTGTTGGAGGCGACATCATTAGGCAGGTAGAGACAACTGTTCAGGCAGCTGTTAGCTCTCAGTGCAACACGCTTCAGCAATAAGCACAACGTATTTGTTCCACAGTCAGAATGCACAGGGGACCGGGATAGTACGTTTTATGTTTATAAAGAAACTAATCACAGCAAACATGGCTCCCTATTAGTGTCGCCGCCACATCTATAGCTTGGAAAAGCCGTAACATCATCGTCTGGGCTTTCCAAAATTGTTACGGTGCATTGAGGTATAAGCTTTTGTTATGGAGAGACGGTGTTATGTATCGTTGTGTGCTGTTTAGTTTGTGTTTAAATGAGAATGAGTTGATTTGTGGTCATCACTTCTTCACTGTGGATATGTTCTCTTTAGGTAACAGGTTCTCCCTGACCTCCTTTGGAGCTCTTTACATCTCTGATGTTCAGAAAGAGGACGCCCTCTCCACATACCGCTGCATCACCAAGCATAAGTACAGTGGAGAGACGCGGCAAAGCAACGGAGCCAGGCTGTCAGTAATGGGTGAGCACCCGATTTTTTCAGTTTTACTTCTGTTTTGTTTCACTTCCTCTTTTAGCTCATCAGTAATTGTAACCCAACCTCTCCCCTCAGACCCCAGCGAGTCCTCGCCCACCATCTTGGACAGTTTCCAAGCCGGGGAGGTGTACGCCGGCCAGAGCATCGAGCTCCCCTGCATAGCGGGCGGCTACCCGAGCCCCACCGTGCGCTGGCTGAAAGATGGTCGACCGCTGCCCTCAGACGCCCGCTGGACCCGGCGCTTGACTGGGCTGACCGTCAGCGACCTGAGGCAGGAGGACAGCGGCAGCTACGCCTGCGAGGTCACCAACAGTTTTGGCTCAAAGGAGGTGTCTGGACAGCTTCACGTAATAGGTGTGTGACACACACGCTCGGCGACAAATAACCTGACAGTTTCTCGCCGTGTCTTCTGAGTGAATCATCCTGGCAGAGGGACACATTTCTGAGCTGTCTCCTTTTTGGTTTGAGGCGCGACTCTCCGGCGGTCACACTTCGAGTGTGTCGGTAACAAATGTATGTGAGCTGCTTGATGCCCCATCATATCAGCCCTCAAAAAGAGAGACAGGGGCAGTAAATTGTGGAGTGTGACTCCATAACACAGCTGCCAGCACCGTTCACCGTCACACACACTCAAGCTGAGGAAGATAGAAAAGAAGACAAGGGGTCACAGAAGGGACAATCGGACGTCCAGACAGTGTTGGAATGACATTATCTGCGATGTAATAACAGGATAATAAGAGCAGGTTAGATCAATGCGAGAAGTATAGAAGGAAACAAAGGCAGGAAGGCGAGACAGAGGGAGAGAATGGGAAGGCAGTAGGCTTTGCCAGTGGGCACATCATGGCAGCACACTCTGTGACTCTGACAGGGTGAGAGGGGGGGTTGGGAGACGCAGCGATGCCCCCCAGCATACACCACCAGCTGCCTTATTGCTCACTGACATTTACACACACACACACACACACACACACACACACACACACACACACACTTTGCTTAACACACAGGCACACTTATAAACACACAAGTGGACAGAGATGTGAAGAGATATCTCCAGCTGCTTTTTTAATGAGTGTGTCGAACTGATTGAGTCACCACTGCTGATTGTGCCCTCTCTAACCGTAAACACCGACTGTACGTTTAAATCGGCGTGTCATCATGGTAGTTTAGTGTAATAGTCTCAGAGTGACGTTTTTAAATTTAAAATAAATATATTCAGTGTGTTAGTGGAGAGGCCCTGACCAGAGATCATGACTAGCTCATTTTTTAGTTGGTAATGCTCTGACCTGACTACAATTTATATTTTCTACTTTCCAGATAAATAATACATTTATTCCAGATAAATAATACATTTAGCCATCCTATTAATTCAAATTAAATAATGTTTTCTTAAAAACAACTCAAAGTTTCAGCTTTTTGCATGACAAAAATTTTCTGCATGTTATGGTATAGAGGTAACTACAAATAAAACTCAACTAAAAGAATGAATGACATGATATTTTATTGACTTTTTTCCAGAAAGATTCAGAATAACAGACTTTTTTCTTTTTCTTTCACGTATGGAAAAGATATATTGTGTATCATTTTACAAGATAGTATTATTATTATTATTATTATTATTATTATTATTATTATTATTATTATTATTATGTGTCTGAGACAGAAAGAGAGAAAGTGAAAGAAACCCACAAACTTTGGAAATATTTTACAAATATAGACAAAATTATTTTGATGTGCACAGTCTTTAGCATTAGCACTAGCATTAGCGTTCAGCATTACCACTACTGAAGGCAGATGCTGACCTGACCCATATTTCCTAATAGAGCATATTAAATGACAGAAGAACACATCAGATGCATCAGACTTTTATTTTTTGGAACTTGCCAACTCCTTTTCAGGGTCGTTCAGGTGTAAAATTGGTAAATCTTCCAATTTCATATCACATAGTAAAACTTTTTTTTTGTGAATTTTTTCTCATAAAAATGAACATTTAAGAACTGTAATGTCTTAATAGATTGGTTGTGTCATAATCAATTGATAGTGTTTACTTTCTATAAAGACAACATAAAAGATGCAACAAAAAGAAATAGCTTTATTGTTCTGCTTTGCATGTCTGGTCTCACCTTCAGGAAGTTCATTCTGTCATCACATGCTTATTTTTTTATTTTTTATGTTTTTCAGATCCACTGCGAGTGACGCTGTCTCCCAAGAACCTGAAAACAGGCATCAGCAGCACCCTGTTCTTCACCTGCGCCGTGGAGGGTTCTCCAGAATACACCATCAGCTGGTACAGGAACACTGAACCTATTGTTCCCGACCAGCACATCTCCATACAGGGACAACACAACGACACGCTGCAGATCACTGCAGCTCAGAAGTTCCACTCCGGAGCCTACCAGTGCTTTGCTTCCCGAAAGGGCCACACAGCTCAGGACTTTTCCATTATTCTCTTAGAGGGTGCGTGGACAAAGGCCGGCAGGATGAGAGAGATGTCTACAAAAATGAATTGGTTTTAATCACGGCTTTTTTATTTCCATCTCCACTTTTCCTCTCTGTCCCCTCTCAGACGGTACTCCTCGTATTGTGTCTTCCTTCAGCGAGCGGGTGGTGAACCCCGGCGAGCCTTTCTCCCTCATGTGTGCTGCCAAAGGAGCCCCACCGCCCTCTATCACCTGGACTCTGGACGATGAGCCCGTGGTGCGAGATTCTACCTACAAGACCAGCCAGTACACCCTGTCCGACGGCCTGACCGTGTCTCACGTCAACGTCAGCAGTCCACTCATTCGAGACGGGGGAGTGTATCGTTGCGTCGCACGAAACTCGGCCGGTAGCGCCGAGTACCAAGCGCGCATAAACGTAAGAGGTGCCTGTCTGCTTTTCAATATAAATGCACTCACACCTGACTCTATACAAACATGCAGGGCTTAGATCAAAGCAAATATCATTATCTATCTATCTATCTATCTATCTATCTATCTATCTATCTATCTATCTATCTATCTATCTATCTATCTATCTATCTATCTATCTATGTAAAACTAAGTCCACCCTTGCTGCCTTTCTAATATTTAAAGGGAAAGCAGAAATCATTTGTGTTTTGCTAGCAGACTTTAAGGAAGCAACTGTTGCTCTTCAACAAACTCAGAAAGGTTAACAACATTTTTAAATCCAACCTTTTAAGTCTTCCCAGTCAGAGTAAATTTTCTCCAAAATAAGATGCTCAGATCAATTATAAACAAAAAACCAGGAGCTTGAGGAACATGTTGCCTGTAAAAGTTTGTCACCACATTTAGAGAAAGACTGAACAAGCTTGGCTTTTTTCTTAGGATTACCGGGCGAGAGCCTTTTCCCTGCAAAAAGATTACGGGAAAATATACTCGAGTTGCCGCAAGAAGAATGTATAACTCCATATTTGGCGAGAAACAAGCACGCCACGTCGGCACAAACTGGTGGTGGTGAAGTGATGATGTCAGCTTACTTTGCAGTGGAAAAAAGACTGTTGCATTCACCGAAACATATCGATGGGTCTGTAGGAAAGATGTATAAACACATTTGTTCTCATTTCAATATACCGAAGAGCAACAGAGGAGAAAGTCTACAAAAAACTACTTAACATGCAAGGGGTGTACTTAGTTTTTCTATAACTGTCAATACAGTCATGGAAGCACTCTTTTTTTTCCTGTGACTGTATCTACACTATGTTGCCAAAAGTTGCTCAACCATACAATCATTGAATTTGGTGTTAATCATGTCCATGGCCACAGCCGCATAAAAGCCAGTCAGAGAGATTTGTGAAGGAATGGAGTTCAGCGACTGTCAGCATAGCGTCGTAGTTGGACGATTTGAAACAAGTTCATACAACACCGCTGGTATGATAGAAAAGTGGAATTGACTGGAAACAACAGAAACCTGGACATGTGCTGGGGTACATAGTGTGTAGAGGTTGCCAACTCTCTGTAGGCTCAATTGCTTCAAAGTGTTTGTGGCCTTCAGCTCAAGGACTGTTCCAACACGACTGCACACCAGTACAATACCGAGGTCAGTAAAGATCAGTTTTCTCACTCCTGACTCCAACCAGACAGAATAAGTTTGGGATGGATTGTGGAGGAGATGGCAAGCTAAGTTCTCTTTTCCAGCATCTGTGTCTGACCACACAAATGCATTTCCACACTCCCAAACCTTGTGGAAAGCTGCCAAAGAAGAATTGAAGCTGATGCAGCTGGGGAGGATGTGTGGCATCATCTTAAACCCTAAAAAATGTCGCTCAAGTTCACATGTGCTGCATGGGATGACAGATGAGCAAATTTCTTTGGCAATATTGTGTATCTATCAAACTAATGTAGCTAGCTAGCTAGTTTTCTGTCTGTATTTACTCATTTAGATGCATTTTAAATCTGCTTAGGGTAATTAGATATTAACAAATATCCTCAGTCAGATTTTAGCAATGGGGGCATAACTAACCTTCCTCTCCACTTGTCAATTTGCCCCAATCACTCCATTCCTCAACTTTTATCTCTTCACCTTTCGTCCCCATTGGCTGCCCCTATGACCTCCGTCACCTCATCCGCCCTGTTCTCCTACTTTCGCGTCTGTCCCTGTGTCCTCCCTCCATCCCCTCCCTCTCTTCCCCGTGTCTCCAGGTCCGCCTCGAATTAGACCCATGCGAGATATCACAGCGGTGGCAGGCAGAAACACATATATAACATGCCGCGTGATTGGCTACCCGTACTACTCGATCAAGTGGCTGAAGGACGGCATGCAGCTGCCTGATAATCATCGTCAAGTGGTGTTTGAGAACGGCACCCTGAGGCTTACGGACGTGCAGAAGGGCGCCGACGAAGGGACCTACTTGTGTAGCGTTCTGATCCAGCCCCAAGTGTCAATCAACCAGACGGTCCATGTAACGGTTAAAGGTAAGAGTGAGGAGAGAATAGCGGAAATTATAAAAGTATCCAGGTTGTAGAACATGCTGTTTAGTGGCCAGTAAATAATCTGTGAAGCTCGGTATGGCATCATAAACTCTTTTTAAATAGAAATCTCTGGATATCTGCCAGAAAACTCAGAACTGGTCATCACTGGTACATTTCAACATGATAGCTAAAACCTGTAGAAAACCTGTGGAATGAGCTAAAGAGAAGGGAGCATGAGATCACACACAGGACTGTGGATAATCTATTCTAAAGACTGTACAAAAAAGAACTAAGCTTTATTTGCAAAGTAGAATTGTACAACTTATTTTAACAACTATTAGCCGGTTCTCTGCATATCTGTACACAAATCAAGGGATAAATATTTGAATTTCCTTTTCGTTTGATCGCCATGGATACGTCACAGTTCAAGAATCTCTGGGATTAGTCTGATTGTAATGAACTCAGACCAATTATGACGCGTGCAATATTCCGACTTGCAACGGCGGCGTTATTTTTGATGCGGATCAGTGGCGTTTGCTGGTGTTCTTTTGTAAATTCGGGATGTTTGCGTCTTTATTTTGTTCAGCTCGACAGTCGGCTAACGATGGTAGCGCGGCAGCTGCAGAGGTGTTTAAGGGTGTGTGTGTGCGCGTGTGCCTGAGTGTGAGTGTGTCTCTGATTTAATTAGATGAATAATAATGAAGCCTAGATTAAATCCCCCAGATGTCTCAGCTGTAGTACCCCCACCTCAACCTCCATTGCTATGGCAACGGGATGACTTCCCCCAGCCAATTGGACTCAAACCAGAGCAGCTATTATGGGCTGCAGGAGACGGGGGAGCTGAAGGGAGGGTGGCAGCAAAGAAGGAGCCCACTGGCCAATGACCTTCTCTATCTCTTTCAGCATTGCTCCAGATGGCCACACTGCCACCCTTAGACATCTATCGCTGCCTTTATTCCTCTGATTCCATGTGCTCTTCCTGTCTCTCCCAGTGCCGCCACTCATCCAGCCCTTCGACATCCCCTCTACCTCAGTGGGGAAGCTCATGTACATCGCCTGCGTGGTGTCGTCCGGGGACATGCCCA